GCCTCTCAAGCCTGGACTGAGTTTAGAACAAATCGGGCACCAGAGATACGCAGGTGACGCGGCCCACGGGGCAGACGCGGACAGGTCCCTGCGGGGGGTAGGGCCCGGGTCACCCACCTCACCCCTCCTCGGGCCTGGACAGGGAGGGCTCGCATTTCTAACAAGTTCCTGGGAGGGCGCTGCTGCTGTTCCCGCCCCGCTCTGAGAGCCACGGTCTCCCCAGGAAGACGGGCAGTGGTGACTGCAGCTGAAACACGGGACAGTCCTGACCCGCCCAGAAGGTGTCCGTCTGCCTTCGCTGGGAAATGTCTGTCCCTCTGCCTTCATGAGGCGGGCACTATGCCAGTTCCCAGCCGCTCCTCCTGGTGGAAAGCCCAGCTACATCTCCGTGGCCATTAGAAGGCCACCCTGCCCTGGCCGGTTCGGATGGACCACCGGCCTGCGGACTGAAGGGTCCCAGGTTCGAGTCCCATCGAGAGCACATGCCCAGGTTGTGGCCCGATCCCCAGTAGGGGGCGTGCAGGAGGCAGCCCGTCCATGCTTCTCTCTCATCGCTGACGTTTCTGTCTCCATCTCTCTCCCTTCCTCTCTGAAATCAATAAAAATATACACTGAGGGGCCAGATGATGATGCCCACCCCATCAGTACTTCATTGACACTTCCCCAAATACTGAATATTGAAAACTTCCTAAGCAAATACAGTGGGGCCTTGACTTACGAGTTTAATTCGTTCCGTGACGGAGCTCGTAACTCAAATTACTCGTATGTCAAATCAAAAAGTGAACGAGTGAGACACGTGATGCCGGGCTGATGTGGTGGCGTTCACTGTGACGTTCGCTGCGCCAACTAGCAGTAGGGTATCGGAAGCTGGCTCGTAACCCGTATTTTAGCTCGCAACTCAAAGCAAAAAATCGGCAGAGAGACGGCTCGTATCTCGAAAAACTCATTAGTCGGGACACTCATAAGTCAAGGCGCCACTGTACTCTCAAGGTTTTATCATTATTATTTGAATAACTAACTCACTTCATTGTACTGATGGGGTGGTCATCATAATCTGGCCACTCAGTGTTGTTTTTTTTAAAAAAAGGCCACACTCACATCCTCCCCACGGGCTGCAGCAGCGATGCGTGGGGTGGGCGCTGTCCCATCCCCCCCTTAACCACCCAGGCGGCGAGGCCCCTGCCTGAACCCTCTCTCCCCGCAGTGCGGGCGCGGGGCGCACCGGTACGTTCATCGCCCTCAGCAACATCCTGGAGCGCGTGAAGGCGGAGGGGCTGCTGGACGTGTTCCAGGCGGTGAAGAGCCTCCGCCTCCAGAGGCCGCACATGGTGCAAACCCAGGTGAGGGGCGGGCCGAGTGGGCGGGCGGGGAGCTCGAGGGGCGGCCAGGACTCGCTGACCTTTTCTCGGTGGGGGAGCGGGTTCCTGGGAAGCTAAACTGTAACGGGAGCCGGTGGGCCTGAGGGTCTGTGGGGTTTTCATGCCTGGGCTTCCCTGTGTCTTCTTTCTGAATGCTTCTCCTAATTATTCCAGGATTTTTAAAAGTACCGTGTTAATGTCTTCTTGGTTTTCTCTTTCAGGAACAGTATGAATTCTGCTACAAAGTGGTACAAGATTTTATTGATATATTTTCTGATTATGCTAATTTCAAATGAAAACTCCTGCCTTAAGATATTTTTTAATTTAATGGTCAGTATATTTTGTAAAAAAAAAATCATGTTAATTTATTTCATAGTTGACATTAATTACCCTTTCTAATGTCTTTGTATATATCTTGTGATGCTTTCAAGGCCGCCCGCTATAAAGTTACTATGTCGTGAAGGCCCCCTTTTAAAAACTGGAATAATGTATTAAGGTCAGATACTGTCCCATAAAGTATATATTTCGCTAATACCAGTAAATGTTTTAATTTCTCATTAGATTCAGATCATTTAATTTCTCACACTCAGCACCTCTAACTGTTATAAATCGTAATGTGCCACGTGTCCAAGATGCTAAGCACAGTTCAGGAGAAAACAGCTGGGGACTCAGAAATCAGGTGGGACTTCGCTTTCTTAAGGCTGCTTGGTCGGCCCTGAGCCGCAGCGTTTTTTTGAGGACAAACTGTTCCTGAAGCTACGCGATAAAGAGTGTGTTTTGTAAAGTCCTCGGTCCTACCCACGTGGTTTCCCTTTTACAATTTAAAGATCCAAGAAGGCCGGGCAACCTGAATCCAGGTCTGCAGCTAGTGACTGTACAGTGAGAGGAACAGGCCATGTCCCGGGCCGTGCCGGTGCCACCGGGGCCCGATGACAGGAGAAGACCCAGGGGGTCCAGTTCGCCCAGGGCTTTGGATGCAGCCAGAGCAGCCTTCCGAGCTGCATCCCACAGCGCCCCCTGCTGCCCGTCCCTCTGCGTGTTTGACGCAGATGAATGCCTTTCTCGCTCTGGTCCCATTGGCCGCAGCTGCCAGCGCGGGGGGCAGGTCTCCCAGGGACCCCACCTCAAACCACTTCCCCCACAAAAGTTCAGGTCAAGCCCCAAGCCCCGCACCCACGGGAGCCAGGAGCGCGCGCTTGGTAGAAAGAGCAGCACGACCACAGGTAACGATGCTTTAAACTTTCTGAGAAGCGTTTTGGTACTTAAAAACCCCTTGTAAAAACTGACTGTTTGTAAGAAAAGAAACCCTGAAGTCTAGATTTATACTGTTTTTTAAAAGTCCCGCTCCGCAGTGTTTGATTGGAGAAGAGAAAGGCTAGCTTATTTTTGGATGGAAATACTACGGAGACCTTGGACCCTGGATGATCATGACCCCCTGCCGGACAGGACCGGCTCATGGGGTAAAATAGAAGGGGGGGAGGGTGAAGGTAGACAGGTTTGATTTGGTAGCAGTGGTCTTTCTATGGCCGTTCGTGCCTAGCCGATGAGCACAACCTCAAACACCTGGTCTCGCTGATGGAAAGCAGCTCACCTGTGCATTTTGGTGCGTCCATTGCTTTTAAAAAGACATCAACGCCTCGTTTGACATTTCCCTGCGAGCGGATTGCACTGTTTCTCCTGTGTTTATTGCCTGAGCCAGGTTCCGAGGGCAGGCCCACAGCCGTGTCCGTGGCCAGTGAGCAGGCTGTACCCAGGCTGGGCCGGGTTCTAAGCACAGGCTCACAGCTGTGTCCACTGCCTGAGCCCCAGGCCCCGGGCTGGGCGGGTTCTAAGCACAGGCCCACAGGTAACCAGGCTCCTGCCTCTCCCCCGAGCCCCACCCAAGGGCCAGCACAGGTGCCCCGCTGGGAAGACAAAAGCACAACTCGGTGAGGTGAGGGCTGCCATGCCGCCCGCCAGCCACAGCCCTGGGCTGTGCACACACACCGATGTCGCCCGCCGCACTTGGGCCCCGGAAAGAGCTGCAGGGAGCGCTGCAAGGCAGGCTGGTTGGCCCCGTTGGTTCTCATTGTTAAATCCCGAGCCCAGAGCCTGCCTTTGACCGAAGGGGAAGAGGCAGGGGCTTCGCTTGCCACCGATCCTAGAGCTAGCGCAGGCTGCCTGTGATGCCGGCTGCCTGTGGTGCCGGCTGCTTGTCACTTATCTGAGGGGCCCACGTGGAAGGGCGCGGATTTGGGTCCAAATCCAGGAGCCTTCCTCTGCATCCGCCACGCCCTCCAATGGGCTCCCTGGCACCTCCTGGAGGAGACAGACCCCCTCAGGGCGCCCTCAGGAAAGTGCCCCAGGGGTGTGTCCTCTGGCCCCTTGCGCCCTCCTGGTGTGCACCACAGGTGTCCGGGTGCCCCCTTTGTCCTTCTAGTCTGAGAAACAAAGCAGAAGCCACTGTCCCTGGGGCACAGACCCTCCCCAGGTGGGGGCAGCCCGTGCTTGCCTTCCCGGGGGGCCCGGGCAGGGGTCTATGGGAACCCTCGGGACTCACCGCCTGTCTGCAGCCACCCTCAGTCACAGAAGGCCCCCTGTGCACACGGGCGCCGCCCGCCCCGGTCCCCTAGCGTCCCCATGTTGCACGCAGTTGAATTCAATGCCAAATCCGATCGGAAGGCTCCGATCCCACCTGTGTGCTTGGTCACCGTGTGACTCACTGACTCTCCCTGTGCTCACGAGGAATGCAGGCCGGGGCTCTAAAGGGCATTTTTTATGTGTTTTTAAAAACTTTTACAATGAGCCCGGCATCCGTTTCAGCACCGGAGACATGCCCGCGTGTTGTTTTTAATGTCTGGTGACTGATACCTGTGTGTCACTACGTCATGTTCCGTTCATGTGCGACCCTTCTCTGTATGTACCCGGTTTCACCCGTCTTGCCTCCTTTGATTACACTTGTCATTTGCTCTTGTTCTGATTTTGATGCCACTGAATGTTGCTGACGTCTTTGTAGCTGCAAACTGCAAGGTGGGAAGCATTCCGACGCGAGGATAAACCTTTGCTTTGACTTCCAGCCTGTGTCTCGTTCTTTCTAGACCACTGATGTCGGGGCTTCTGTGACTTAGCTGGGAGTACCCCCTCCGGCGTTTGTGGGGGCACGGTGGGCATGGGGGCACAGTGGGCGTGGGGGCACGGTGGCTGTGGGGGCATGGTGGCCAGGGCTTGGCCCCAGCATTCAGCTGGTCCTCAGGCCTGAGGTGCAGGCAGGAAACACGTCATAACTCGCCATCAGGGAGCCCGAGCTTTTGCTGGCGTCCAGGCAGGAATCTGAGCTCTGAGCAGTGATGTCTCGGTCGACAAGGGTGACGACAGATGCGTCAAGTCCACAGCCAGGTGGACTCAAAAGTCCTGGATGTTGCTTTTCCTCCTAAAATCTAAAACCCCACCAGCTGCCCTTTGCCCGGCTCTCTCCACCCGCCCACCTCGCCTCCCTCCCTCCCTCCCTCAGCTTCCTTTCAGCATTCTAGACCCACTTGGGATCCAAGCATATGCTTTTATTATTCGCTGTATTTAATAAATTTCATGAGCCTTATGTTTGCTAAGATGATTTGAAACCTGTTAGTCCCCTCTCCAAAGCCACCTGCATTGAAACTCACCTGCAGCAAGTGCTGTTGGCTCTCCTGGGCCCTGGCGTGCCTGCGTCTTCCTCAGGGTCTGCCTGCACCTGTCTGTGACAGGGTCCCCTAGGGCAGTGGCCCCCACTCCTGCTGTGGGTGGGGGGCAGCCTTCCCTGGGCTCTGTCCACCTGGAGGAAGAGGCACAGACAGGCCCTGAGGTGTGGACAGGGGAGGGGCCTCAGGCCACATCAGTCATTCAGGGACCAGCCGATTCCAAGCAGTGAGCCGCCGCCTCAGGAGGGTGTGTGCACACGCGTGTCCGTGTGCATGTGTATGTGTGCGAGTGTGTGTGCGCTGGGGGGTCTGGCCTAAAGGCAAGAGCGGGCTGGTCCTTTGAGCAAAGACTGTGCCAGACAGGCCATCTGGAGCTTGAGGGGAAGCGGGGAGATGTTCCATTTCCTGAGAAGTTCGGGGCAGGGGGCTCCTCACCTGGAACCGGAGGCTGACGGTCCGGACCCACAGTAAGCGGGGCGCACTGCCTGCAGCCTGCTCCCAGCCTCAGCCTGGTTGATGGTTTCCCCCCCACCCCGCTCCCCACAACCCCAGTGTGAAGTGAAGGATGCGCATGGTGGGTATTTCCCATCCAGACCCACACCCTGGCTGCGCTCTGGAAACACTGTGCTGATGAAGGGGCGGAAGTGGGCTCATTTATTTCCGTGGGATTTGTGGTCAGAATTAAACCCGAAAGGGTTGTTTTTTAATTTATCTTTATTGTTGAAAGTATTGCAGATGTCCTTTTCCCTCATTGTCACCCTCCATTCCACCCCCGCGCCCTGCCCCAGGCTGTTACCACACTACTGTGTCCCTGGGCCATGCGTGTATGCATCCTAGTGATTTGGTTAATCTCTTCCCACCCACCCCCACCTCCCCTGAGATTCGCACTCAGTTCCATGCTGCTATGTCGCTGCATCTGTTGTGCTCATTGGTTAATTTTGTTCTTTAGATTCCACATGAGTGAGATCATGTGACACTTGTCTTTCTCTGACTGGCTTATTTCACTTTGCGTAATACCCTCCAGGTCCCTCCATTGTGTCTCAAAGGGTAAGAGATCCTTTTTACAGCTGCGCAGTATTCCAGGGTGTAGATGTACCAGCTTTATTATCCACTCATCTGCTGATGGGCACTTGGGCTGTTTCCAGATCTTAGCTATTATAAATAATACTGCTGTGAACATACGGGTGCATACATTCTTTCTGAGTGGTGTTTCGGGTTTCTTAGGATAGACTCCTACAAGTGGGATAACTGGGCCAAGTAGCAGTTCCATGTTTAATTTTTTGAGTTTTGTTAATTACTGTTTTTTTCATTAATCAGTATATTCCATTCCCGCGGCACACAGCTAATTGAAATTTTTCTATATGTGAACTTCATGAACAACCTAATCAAAGAAAAGTCGTTATTGTTCATGTTCTTGAATTTGGCCTCCCTGAATTCACATTTATGACTCACACTTTCCAGTAAAGCACCTTTCTGAGGCCCAAGACTGTCCGTTTTATTTCTTTTTCTTTATTTAAAATATATTTTTATTGATTTCAGAGAGGAAGGGAAAGGGAGAGATGGAAACATCAGTGAGAGAATCATTCATTGATCAGCTGCTTCCTGCACACCCCCTACTGGGGATGGAGCCTGCAACCCGGGCACGTGCTCTTGACCGGAATTGAACCTGGGACCCTTCAGTCCGCAGGCCCACACTCTGTCCACTGAGCCAAACCAGCTAGGGCTGTCCTTTCTGTTGCATGATGCCACTCCTCTTCCCAGGCCAGCTCGCCTGTCACCAGCCCTGACAGGTGAGCTGCTCAACCTGTCTTCCTCCAACCCCCTCCCCCTGCCTTCCCCAACCTTCCCTCCCTTAGGGCCTTAGACAACCCTGAACTCCGCCCACCACTGCATGGTGGCAGCGCCAAAAGCACAACAGATGAAGACAGATGCCTCAGTTGATTAACAAAGGTTTATTTTTATATGAACATGGCTCCACGCCAGAAACAGAGGACAGGAGGGCACAGACAGGCACGGCCCTTACACTCACACTCGGGGACAGCCACCTCGTCTTCCATTCTCTCCTCAGACTGGCAAGGCCGGTGAATGGGGAGGCGACTGGACGGAAGTGTGCTATTTTCTGACCAGGGGACACACAGGGACAGGACACAGTGGAACATAAAAACAGAGATGCCAGCAGTTAGATGCACGTCTAGGCCTGAAACGGAAGGAAGTCTGGACTTGACCTGCAACTGGGAAGTACAGCCTCCACTGGGGGGTATGCCCTCCATTGGGAGGTACGGCCTTGCAACGAGAGCGCAGGCCCTCGGGGACAGACCCTGGTGCCTGCTGCCGTCAGAAATGGCCTTGCGCTAGGACGGCTCGTGTTGCTTCCTGTCCCCGGTGGGTGCAGAGCACCCTAGGCCGACAGTGAGCCAGAAAAAGCACAGGTGGGGCCAGGGCCAGCAGAAGCTCAGAAAACGGTAACCTGTTCTGCTGATGTGAGAACCCAGGTCTGCTCAGCTCCGTCGTTTTATCTGGGAGCCTGACACAAGGAGCTAAGACGGTGTCAGTCTGAGAACCGAGCCCCTGGTTGATGGGAGGGTGGATGGGTCCTTCTCAGATGAGCGCAGTCCTAGTTTAGGCAAATACCACGTGAAAAAGGCATGCCACCAGTTGGCCCCGAGATGTCTGTCTGACTGCTGCGCCCTGAAGATGGGGTCACAGGCCATCCTCCGGGTCGCGTTTATTCCCTGAGTGACTGGAGTCCCGGACGAGCCTGCCCTGTGCAGACACCCAACCCCAGGGCACTGACACAGGCCTCTGCACTGTGAAGACACATCTATAAGCACCAGGAGTCTTCCCTTACCCCTTCCTATCGCTTCCCGAGGGCCCTGCCTTTGGGGTCCTGACGGGGACACAGACAAACACAGAAGCATTTACAATGCAAGTGCTAGAGCCTGGGACGGGGCGGGGCTGACTGGGAGAGGTCGACTTCAGGGCTGCATTGGCAAAGTTGAAGGGTACAGCTTGGCTCAGACTCCCCTCCCACCCCCACCTGCCTTAAGTTGTTATTTCTGGGGACCCAGGAGTCCCCCTTCATAACTCCAGGCGGGGTTTTTGAATAGACTATTGAGAATGAGAAATTTTTTAAAAGCTTTCTTCCCTTAAGCACCCGGATAGCATTATTTACAGAATCCATGTTTAAATTCACAGCAAACGTTGTTCTAGAACTTATCACTAAACTACATTCCTACTCCCCCCCCCCCCCCCCCCCCCCAACGTCTGAGCTAAACATCGTCACGGCCCCGGCGGCTTCGGGTCCTTATTTTCTTGACGCCCACGTCGTCGTTCTCCTGTTTGGGAAGAAATGCAGCTCCGGTCACTTAAAGCGAGGACTTCCGTGCCCACTCGGCCCTGTGAGCGCCCCAACCCTCCCTGGGGCGACCCTTCCCAGAAGGGATTTGGAGGGCGGAGATGAGTTTTACAATCCAGGGTTGGGGGCAAAATGGAGGTTTACAGTAGTGAGTACGGGAAACAAGGCGTACGCTTGGGTTATTAGTAATTATTGTATTTGCCACCAAACCACCGTGAACCAGATCCGTCACTGTGTCTTTGCTGACGTCAGTTGCGCTGTGCCTGTTCCCTCGTGACTCTAAGGGGCAGGGACATTCAGTAACATCCTGGACGTGGGTGGACCCGCGTCAGGGCCTACGCAGCGGGTGCCGTACCCGACAGCTGCTGGTCAAGCGGGAAGTTCCCGCGGACGCCGGTCTCTAACTGCATCCCCCTCACAGCAAGGGGACCTTTCAGCCTGTTCTTTGAACCCAGCAAAATGGAGAGCTCCCCAGAGAAATGCTGAGTAAGTGCCATCCTACTTCGTGGGCTTAATCCCGCGCAGGCAGCTCTCGGGCTGTGAGTCTGAAGGCCGTGGGCCAGGGGTCCTCAAACTACGGCCTGCGGGCCACATGCAAATACAAATATTGTATTTGTTCCCGTTTATTTTTACTTCAAAATAAGATACGTGCAGTGTACACAGGAATATGTTCATAGTGTTTTTTAAACTATAGTCCGGTCCTCCAACGGTCTGAGGGACAGTGAACTGGCCCCTGTTTAATAAGTTTGAGGACCCCTGCCGTGGGCACTCACCGTCCATTAACTTAGATGGCGCCTGACTCGGGAGGGTGACAGGACACAGCCCTTCCTACTGACCCGGGACTCCTAAGAGTAGAGGTGCCTTGGGACACACCCAACGTGGAGTCATACTAGCTTTCCAAAGGGACCCTATGGGGACCCGACAGGGCCACCTCTGGGCTTTGGTGAGTCCCTGAACTCGGGAGCCTGGAGACCTGTGATGTCAGTACCGGGGGTGCAGTGAGCAGCGGGAAGCACTACGCAGACAAGGTCCCTGCTGCTCACCCACGACTTCATAACGTGAGTTCGCTGTTGACACGGGAATTCCCAGGACAGACAGCACTGGCCACAGCCACAGCGACGAAACTCACGCCTTATACCCGCGCCTCTGTGCTGTAGAACCCGGAGCCCGTCCGCGCATGCAGCGTGTTCGTTTGCTTTTGCCACAGGAGCATTCTGTGCTCGTTAAAAAGCGAAACAGTGCCCTGGCCGGCATGGCTCATGCTCAGAGCATCAGGCTGCTCACAGAAGGGTTGTGGGTTCAAGTCCAGGTAAGGGCACGTACCTGGGTTGCAGGTTCTATCCTCCTCCTGGCTGGGGCACTTGCTGGAGGTAACCAGTCAATGTTGTCTCTCTCACATCAATGTTTCTCTCTCTCCCCGCACCCTTTCCACTCTCTTTGAAAATCAATGGAAAAAAACATCGAGTGAGGATTAAAAAAAAAAAAACTATTAAAAGAAATAAAGTAAAAAACGTTTAAAAAGTGCAGCAGTAAACGACTTGCCTGCTGTGACTTTTCCGCAGGCCTCTTGGCGCTCCGCGTCACTCTCGGTTTGGGCTGACTCTCCGAAGTGTCCCCGGTGGGAGGGACTGTCACCTTTCTTGACCTCACGTGTGTGGAGGCTGCACGTTGGGCTCCTCTCTCTTCCCGAGTCTTCACGTGGGTTTCCACGCTTGTCTCCCCGGCCGCGCTGGGCAAGGGCGCCTTCCCCTGTCTCCCGGGTCTCTGGCGTGTTCTCCTCTCACGGACCGTGTCCCCCGATGCAGAGCTCCTGGCTCCATCTTCTGGGGTTTGACTCTCGGCCTCTGGGGAGGCCGTCACGGGCTTCTTCCCACTCCTCTTTGTTTTCACCTTGTCCACTGTTAGGAGACCCTCAGGTGTCTGCTCAGCGCTGCTGGCTTTATTTGGGAGTCTGGAACGCAGCGACATTTCCTAAAAAACGGAAAAGACATTCACAAAAATGCCAAGAATAAGTGATGCACATCTGAACGCCCAACATGGAGGAAAACCCAAACTGAACTCAGAGGGAAACTCATCTGAACGTCTTACACGGGTTAATCTTCTAAAACACCAGTAATCTAAGATAACTACTTTTTCCTTTGGAGAAATCACCGCCTCTACTGATAAACCATAATAAGGAGTTTGGTATAAACCTCAGTCAGTGTCATATATGTGAGGTCTGGTTACGAGCATCACAGGGCACTACAGGAACATGCCCCTAACATGGGCAGTAAATGAGCTCCTCTGGCTTCAAGGACTAAGGCAGAACCGGGAAACCTGCTGCCGGAAGTCCCCAATCTTCTCTCCCTAAGGAGTGACTACTCTACTGAAAATCTTGACAGTTGACAGTTACATTCTGCTGAGGACATCCCTCCCGGACAGGGTTCTAACTGGTTAGGTACCGCACTCCGGGCTGTGGGGTCTGAACAGGCCGAGCTGTTCCCTTCTCTCTACATCTTTGAGGATGAACACAACTCATTCAGTCCCTGAGAAAAATCTTGTCAAAATCTGCAGTGATAACTTTAGCTGTATTTCTCCCAAATTAGCCTAGTCTCTCTAGAGGAGCCCAAAGGATTTTCCGCTGGGCCCGCAGGTACTCAGCACTCACGGCAGACCCTTCTGGAAGGAGCACCCACATAAACTCAGGTTCCTTCCGATCTACCAATTATGCGGAATCGGAGAACGTCCCCCCAGAGCACCGACCAGTCACTATGCAGCAGCCATCCTCACCTTGCCTGGGGAGGTTGCCCCCGGTGCTCTTCGGCCCCTATTCTTAGTTTTCATGTCCTCGCTGGGCATGTCTTCTGTGCTTTCTGCCAAAGCTCCCCGCCTCTTCTTCACGCCCAGGGGTTCAGGCGGCTCACACCTCTCTTGGGGAGCTGCCCGCTGCCTCTTCAGTGGCGGCTTCTCTGCAGGGTCCTGTGCTCGTGTGCTAGTGCGCAGCCTCCTCATTCTGGTGGGACTTCCATCTTCACGCTTCCTCTTGGGGGGCAGGGAAACGCTGCTCCCCCTTTTGGATTTTACAGGGTCTCTGCTGCCCACCTGGTCTTCCTCGGGCTTTACGTCCAGGGCCCAGAGGACTCTTCTGGGCTTTGCAGGTTTGCTTTGGCCGGGTGCTTGCGTTGGAGTTCTAACGCTCTCAGCTCCTATGCCCAGTTCCTCATCCTGAACTGAGCTTTGCAAGGGTTGTTGGCAGCAGGCTGGGTCTTCTGGGGGCTGGGCCTTTCCCTTCCGTGATCTTAGCTGGCGTTTGCTGCCCTCGGTGTTTTCTGCAGGACCCAGTTTCTGCCTTGGAGATTCCTTGAACACCTTGACGTCTACTGGTTCTCTGTGGGACCGCGTGGTTTTCCCTGATGTCCTGGGAGCTGAGAGCTCTTCCTCCATGTCCACCTTCCCGGGAGGCGCCTTGACCTGCCTCTTCCTGCGCGCTGGCATGACTGCTTCTGGCTGTGGAGATCTGGAGGACATTTCAGTGGTTTTGACAACAGTCTCTGGTTCGTCTTTGAGGCCAGCCAGGTCTTCTAGGGGCTGGGCCTTTTCCTTACGTGTTCTTGGCCTCCTCTTGCTTTCAGTTACATTTTCTGCAGGGTCCGATTTCTCTTCTGGAATTTCCATAAACACTTTGGTATCTTTATCAGCAACCTCTGGTGCTCTGTGGGACCTTGTGGTTTTCCCCAGTGCGCGTGTGGGCCTTCTGAGTGCCGAGACCTCATCTTCTACAACCACTTTGCCTTGAGGTGCTTTGACACGTCTGTTTCTACCTGTTAGCATGATGACTGGTTCTGGGTTTTGATATTTGCAAGGTATTTTGGTGGTTTTGTCAACAGTAAATGATTCCATGATGTGATCTGGTGTGTGGAAGAGCTCCTTGAAGCCAACCAAGTCTTCAATGGGTTGGACCCTCCTCTTGGGTGTTCTTGATCTCCTCCTGCTTCCAGTTACATTTTCTGCTGAGTCCGGTTTCTGTTCTGGAGTTTCTTTAAATGCTGTGATACCTTTATCCTCACCTTCTGGCTCTCTGTGCGACTGTGTGGTTTCCCTTGGTCTCGGTGTTGGCTTCCTGAGTGATGAGAGCTCTTCCTCCACGTCCACTTTCCCCAGAGGTGTCCTGGAACGTCTCTTTGTGCTGGTTGGTGTGCTGACTGGCTCTGATTTTGGAGATTTGCAGGGTGTTTTAGCGATTTTGTCATCAGTCACGGTTTCTGCGATGTGAATTGGTGTTTGGAAGAGCTCTTTGAAGCCAACCAAGTCTTCCATGGGTTGAACCTTCCTCTTGGGTGTTTG